CTTCCTGTTCCACCCATTCAACTCCAACATGACCAGCCGTTCCATAATATTTATAATCCTCACCAATTCCCAATAACCTTGCTGCTTTGGCTGTGGCATATCCAAGGTTCTCATAAGAAGGCACAAGGTAAAAAGATAGGTGAATTTGGTTAAAAGGCTGTCCTGTCCAGTCGGGCATCTTCACTTGGCTCATATTCCGATTTCTTCTCTTGCATCAACAAGAACCCCTCCTATGGAAAGGGATGCTACTTGTCAAATTGATTGATTGGTCGGCCAGTGGGACCTAATGGGAATACTACATCACCTTTTACAGCATGTACAATTCTATCAGGCCCATTCAGGGAACCCTAGGTTTTTTTTTTCCTTGTCAGCGACGACGCCTTCGTTGAACACTTCCCGAGACGCAGACGGCAGATATTTCCTGCTACGCTACCATTGGTACATAAACCCTTCGGCTCAGCCAGGTTCGTCTGCTTCTTTAGTGTCGCCTATGCATCTCATGCAGCATTAGCTTTCCCCTCACCTTACAAAGCACAACGCCAAACAGGCTGACAGAACGGACGGCCTTTAATGGCGTTGCTGCACAGCTATCACGGGTCTACTACTGCTTGCAGCCTTATCGATTTCAATGGGTCGCGTTCCTTGCCCTCTCCCCCCTAGTTCAACTATCCAAGGGAATCACCCTTCGTCGCAGCAAGTAAGCGAGGGGTATTCTGTGCCGCGTGGCAGTCCATGATCCTCGAACAGTTGCGTACAGATCTGGCCATTCTTACATATTTCAGTCTTACCCACAAACGTGCTTCAGCCATGTGTGCTAAGGTACTAGTAATAGTTTGAGAATGCAATCCACTCGACGAAGAACATCTCAGCCGCGAACACATGTGTACGGGTCGAACATATACTCGATTATTTGGTGCTTTGCTATCGAGGGTTCTTAGGTATTTATAATTACATGTCAGTTTTGCTAGTCACAAACATACAGCTATCGCTGGTACATGTATGTCATTCCAGCATACCCGATTAGACTTATCAATATGTCAATCGTTTTTCCCGATCATCACTACCTAACAATCAAGGATCGGAATAGCGGACCAGCATTCAGCTGACAAGATCCCGAGTCAATTTTTTTTACATTTCGAAACTCACAACTTTTGGTATCATTGGCTTACACCGTTGTGTGCAATATAGTGATATCTTCAAACCTTAATCGAAAGGAGAAGTGCTTAATTTTTAACACACTGGGCCACCAGCATTTTCGTTGCCATGAAGACATATAAAAGAGGGATTTATTGGTGTGGCAAATGTCGAAAGCAGCCTCATGACTCACAGTATTCTACACCGTACCTTCATCACGTTGTCTGCCTGTCCTATGATTTTCTTTTCCTAGAGTAGGTAGGTAGTTTCTAGTACATGTCTTGTCTTCAACCCATGCATGCAATGGGGAGTGTCCACGTAGTGGTTCCTTGAGCTTGAGACATTTTATTCATCTACTAGCATTCTTCCCCCGAACCATGTTGCCCATATAATGACACATCGACTTCGGGGCCTTCCACATGTCAGGGAGACGGTATCATTAATATCCATGGGAAACTCTCCCCCTATTTACTTACACCGTTGTGCAAGCCTACATCAGCCCGTACATAAACTTACATGTAGGTCGGTCAGTCCAACTAGCAGCCTAGCAGGCCTACCTTGGGAGATAGGTAGGTACTTTAGCGGCTTCGCCTGGGTAAATCGGCTCGTACCTAACTACCTCTTACGTTCAATTCCTACCTACATGTAGTTTTTCTCCTAGGACTTCCCGCCTTACGCTGGATAAATCCTCAGTCGATTGACATCCCAAAAAAGCCCCGAAGAAGTCGCCGTTAGCTACGTGTTCTGCAGCAAGTTAGGTAGCAAGCAGCGCCGCCCGTCAGCCTTCTGTCGATCCAATCCTATATGAGGTATGTATTCCAGCGAAGGGCTTTTGCTCTTGTATGTATGTATGTATGCCGCGCTTACTATTAGACGTTATCCCAAGACCCTGTTCTGCCTGTACATGTATTATTATCTGGTACCCAAAGTAAGGGAATAAACAATTATTAAGTTGCTTGCGCAATTGGGTCCTGGTTAATATCCTTGTCTCCCAACGTTCCGATATAACAATTAGATTTCTAACTTCAATTTGAAGGGGGATCCTGGGAAAGGATCTCAAGGCATATATTCTTACTAGACCATATCCCTCTCGAGTCTCGGTAAGTATAAATATACCAGTCATAAAGCATGACAGGAAAAGAAAAATGAATTTCCACATACAAGCTTGTTGGATTTATTGCCCCTCCAAAAGGAAAAAGAAAAAGAAAAGAAAAAAAAGACCCCTCGTTCCACGATAATACACAACTTCCCCACCTAAAACCCAGCTCTGATCAGAGAGCATGTCATTTCCGGATCGCCGCGGATGAACATGTACCCCAGACGCGCGTGAGGCAGCGACCCGAGACTCGAAACACTTTGGGGCTCATCTCATTTTTCACATCTCGAAAGAAAGCGATTGCTATTAGAAGTTAAGATATAGCGTTTGGCGTTCGTTTCCGGTATTCCATGTCTTGTCAATTGTTGATTCTTCCCGTCCGTCATATCTATCTGTCTGCCTGTAACCGAGAAGGCCCCCCTGGCACATGCTCGCCTTGTTCTAGAGCTCTACTTGTCTGGCAGGTAAAACCATAATAATCT